ATGAGTCTAGGGTTCAATTTTTCTCTGCTAAGGAGGCAGGACCCTTCCTACTGTTCAAATCCAGAGTTTCCCACCGTCAGCAAGATTGATATTTAGGGCTGGATAATTTGTTATGTATTGTAGGATATTTAGCAGCATCTCTGGCCTCTACCCACAAGACGCCAATAGAACTCATCTTGTCTGGTTGTGACAATCAAAGAACATCTCCAGATGTTGCCAAATGTCGGGGAGAGAGGGCAGTAGTGTCAGGCAAAACTGCACTTGAGAACCAGTGTTCTGACATCCTATGAATTATGAGATTTTCTAACAGGTACCCTTGGTATCTCCAGTGATTTTTCTCTCTCATCCTTATGGATGTTTTTTTTCCCCACCACAGGTAGTTTCCCTATACAAATGTGCTCATCAGTACTCAACTGGAGTTGGTGGGGAGGGGGCTCTGCAGCTCTCCAGTGTTCCCTGTCTAGTTCTTTCCTATCTGGTACATCGCCCGGCAAAAGCCACCACTGTGGCCTCCCAGGATCCCTTGCTCTATCTTCTCAACTTAGAGAGTGTGCCAGGCTCCGCTTGAGTTCTCCTTTCCTGTGCTGAGGACTAGAAACTCTCTCCAGGTAGTAAACTGAGACAACCCAAGTTTGCTTCACTTGTTTCCCATCTCTCAGGGATCCCATCTCTCTGATCCTTTATGGTATATATTTTACATTTGTTCAGGAAAGTTAGATCTGCTCATCTTGGCCCAATGGATTTTTTGTGTTCATGATTTAAAAAAAAAACAAATTTGCATCATAAAAAATCCAGGAGAGGCAAATTGATAATGCAAGTTGGAGAATGTTGGAAACATCCCTTTGAGTAAGTATGAGAGGACAGCTTAAAGCCAGTGGAGGATTCAGGCAGAAGCAGATGATCCAAAGTTAAGAGGAAAGAAGGCATTAACAAACCAAGATATGGGCACCTTACTCTTCTCTTTTCCCCCCCTGTTGTAAATATCAGTGTAATAGGTACAGATGGGGATAGGTATAGAGAGAACATTTATATATGTGTAGAGAGAAACTTAAAATGTTAATGGGATGTTGCTAAGATTGTAGACTCATGGGTCACTTTTTGGGTGATTTTCACTTCTAAACTCTATTATTACCTTCATAAAGAAAATATGCAAAGAAGAATTTACATATGGAGCTGGACACTTTGTTCTATTCTTAGCACCTAGTTATGCTACTTCTTTGCCCAAAAATGGTCTCCTATCTCATTCAAAATAAGTCATAGCCCTACTAATGACTAACCAGGTCTTGTATGCTCTGGTCCCCTTTCCCTCATTTATTTGCAGGCTAACCCATTATTTTACCTCATGTTTATTCGTCAGTGACTCTGCCTCCTTGCTGTTTGCTGAACAAATCAGGCATTGCTCCCACATCAAGCTCTTTGCACTTGCTGTTCCCATGTATGGAATGTCTTTCTTCCAGTCTCATGGCTTGCTTTCTTATACTTATTCCCATTTTTCCTCAAATTTCCCTTTTTTCCCCAGTATTTTCTCATCATTCATTCACATGACATATGAATATGCATTTCCTTTTTCTACTGTTGTGTGCAGTTTCCACACACAGAAGCAATAGACGTGAACTCGTAAGTTTTGGATGTTAGCAACTTCAAATCCCCAGGTCTGATAATAAAATTAGGGCCCCAGAGAATCGTATTTGGGGAGGGGGGGTAAAATGATGGCCATGGGGAGGGTCTTCAAGGGTCACATACAGGGGTGTTTGAGGGGAATATTCAGAGAGCAATGGTTGGAGGTGGGTGCATCACTTTGCAGCATAATCCCCAGTCCTGAGTCCTAGATTAATGTATCTATATGAAGGACGGAAGAGAAATGTCAGACACAGTTGTGCAAAAATCTTCTCATCCGCAGATGTTCCAATGCCAATGCTTTGTTATTGTTGTGGTTATGAGTGTGGTGCAGACAGGGTGGAGTAACAAATGGCAGAAGCTGACAGAGGCCAAGTCATGGAAGGCCATGCTAATTTTATTAATCTATATAGTGCATAAAGTGTTAATTCTAGAGTTTAGAATTACAAAGTTTTTCTACAATTCAGTAAGAAAATACAAAGAACCTATATTAATCAGGACAGAAACCCAATTCAGTTATTTTAAACAAGAAAGGGACTTTATTGGCTCACAAAACTTTAAAGTTCGGAGGTAGGGCAGGCTTTAGGCACAGCTGGATCTAGGGCCTCCAGAAAAATGACATCAGAACTGAGTTCTCATTTCTTTCTGCTAGCCTCTGAGTTTTTCCTCAAGACTCTCTCCACATGGTGTAAATTCAGGCTTACACAGTCCTTAGTTCATGGAATCTCTGTAGAGCCTTCTTTCCAATAGTTCCAGCAGAAGTTCTGTTGAGAGCTCTCTTTAGCCTGGCTTGAGTTACATGCCCATTCTCTTAATCACTGTGGCTAAGAAGCTGCAGGACTCAGGAAGGCCAAACCGGGTCACCTACTCATCTAAGCCACAGGGAATGGGTTCCCCACAATAAATAAGGATTCTGTTACCAAACAATGGGTAAAGAGATGCTGAACAACAACAAAAAAAACCCCAGAACACCCAACAACATAGATCCACACATAACCCAACAGAAAAGCTATTATAGGTAAAGGACATGAACAAACAATCCATGATAAAAGTGGCCAATAAACATATGAAAATAACCTCAACCTCACCATTAATCAGGGAAATACAAGATGATTTTTTTTTTTTCTTTTTTGCCCATCAGATAACAATTACCAAGCGTAGGTAAGGCTATGTGGGGAAATGAGCACTTTCCATACATAGGGTAAAAATAGAAAGTTATAAAGACCTTTGGGAAGGCTAAGAGGGGTCTATCAGAAAGCATATCCTTGGACCCAACTATCCACCTCATACAACTCCATCCTAAAGAAATTTCACACATATGCACAGAAATATATGAAAAAGATGTTTCCTTTGGCAGTGTAAATAGCAAGAGAAAAAGTAAGGGAACAGTTGAATAATGGGATTTTCATAGTATTGCATCCTAATCAACCATTAAAGAAATTTAAAGACCTCAGGATTTTTGAGACTAAAGGAAAAGCCAAAAAAAGGAAGGTGAACAATACATATCTATGATTTTATGTAAAAATAGCATTTATTGTTATGTATATTCATATGGAAATGTATGGAAAGGCAGCTAGATGGATTTATGTCAAACTGTGGACTGGAAGTGCTGGAGAAAAGGGCCTCTCTGCTCTTATACTTGTGTATTTAGTATAATGAGATGGTAGTCATTTATACTTTAATAATTAAAAAAAGAAAAATGGCAAACAGCTCTCAACAGGAAATGGAAATGGCCAATAAACATAAAAAGATGTTCCTCCTTATTAATAAAAAGACAAATTTCACCTACCAGAGTGGTAAAAACATTCAGGATTCAGGGTTGGTGGGAGTGGGGGCAAACAGGCACTCTACTGATGGGAGTTGCAAATTGGTACCATCTTTTTGGTGCTAGTTCTCAACACGTTAAATGTGCACATTCTCTGACCTGATAAATCTACTTCTTGCTATTTATTCTACAGAAATAATATCCACACAGGCAGCAAAATAGATGGATAAGGATGGTACCTATCCCTTTATAATAAAAAATTGGAAAGAACTTCTTTTTCATCAATAAGGGGTTAAATAAATTACAGTATATTCATGCAATGGAGCAGTGTGCAGCCATAAAGAACAATGTCTACATCGAGGTGAGAGGGAGGGGAGGCAAGTTTCAGTGCAGTACATGGAAAACGGGGATATGTACCTACCTCATATGGTTGCTGTGAGGACTAAGAGCTAATCCATGGTAAAGCGCTTCCAACAGTGCCCATGCGCAGCAACCTCAGTGTCAACTATTAACACATTTTGCTTAAATATGTATATTCCTAAGTCTGGAAGAATAGCAAACCAAGTAAGTATTACTTCTGAGGAAGAGTGTGAAGAGGAATGTCCTTTTTCCACTTAACATTTCTGTACTGACATTTAGCAATCAAGGTTGAACAGCCATCACTCACTACACTGTGAAAAGATAGATATCCCTGTTAAGTTCACAGTACTAGATTTGAGTTTTAGCTCTAATTGGCCACATGCAAGTCACACAATCTCCGAATCTTTCTTTCCTTGCCTACCAATCTAAGTGAGATAGGTATAGTGACTGATCTGATGCCTGGTGTGCAGATTATCTCAATGCATACAACCCTCCCTTCAATTTACTAAATGTGATACACACATTGCTAAATCAAATTTTGGGGGTTTAACCTCCAAGAAAACCAAAAGAAACTTTAGCAGTAATGAGCAAATGCTCAGTAGCTACTGGGCAGTTATCAGCGGTCTGCGTGCCATTAACAATGACTGCTCTTTTACTAACCAAACAGATGTCACTGCTTGGCAACGGACAGCGCACCACTTTATCAGAGGCTGGGCAGCCCCCAGAATTGCTAACTATGACTATCTGTGGGGATATAAATTAATGTCTGGATGAAATAATAAATCACTGAAGAGTTACTTTTAATCAACTGGTCTAGGGACTTAGCCTAACCGAAGATGGTGATTACACAGACTACCATTTCTTTTCCCATACACCCTAATCCAGTCTTTTTGGGTCCAGCCCAGTTTCCCCACAGAGCCTTGCCTTAGCTTCAGAATCCCTTCTAAACAATGCACAGGTATCAGAGCTGACAAGATAAACTCGTATTTGCCAAGTCTAACACCACTTTGTCTAAGCTCTGACATTATACCAAACTCTTTGGCATTTGTGACAAATGTACCACAGGGAAGCTTCTTTGTATACAGGAAAGATGTAAGATCTAAAAAAAGGGTAAAATTCTAGCTATTGAGAGATTGCTCCCTTCTTACCTACTCTGATACAAGAACTCTGTCATTTCAGCAGAAGTAGTAAAAATATGCCACCTCAAAAGCTACTTGGAAAGAAGCCAGTTATAAATAAATAAATCAACTCAAGATCGTTTTATCTTAGAGCAGAGGAGTTTATAGCTTTATTGGACATTGACTGGTTTCCTCTCAGCCACAAAGAGAAAAAGACCCAAACAAAAGTCCCTACATTTTCTTGTATAACTTAAAATACATTATATCATTACTACATATTTATACTTCAATAAATCTTAATCTATAAAGCACATTTCTTATAATTAATTGTTATCAGGAAATCTATAAACAAGCTCCATTCTGCCTCACTTTTCCACCAGCTGGCCTTGCATTTATTACTATGCTTTTTAACAGGCTCATGCAAATCTCACCTTCCATTTTCAAATTTGATCCAAGCACCAGATGTAACCAAAATCTCTGGAACTATGAAATCTTTTTATTCACATGGGTCATTTTCCACACAATTAATGCCCACTATAAAGAAGTCTTTCCTCATATTCTCTATTTTAACTTCCAGAGTTTTCCACTAAACAGTAAAACCACAGTACTTGGGATTCTCAGCCAAGGAGTATATAATCCTACTACTACAATGTATTACTTTTTATACATTTTTTAAAATGTGTTAAGACTTAAAATTAAAAAAAAAAATAGTTCAATCAATTCTGATAGTTAATAAACTAGTTGTTAATAACCTATTATTTTTAAATAGAACAATCCATTCAACTTAACATGTAAGTACAACCTCAATGCTATTAGAGATTGATTAGTTTTTTTAAAAGACCCACAAACATCCAAACTGTGTTAAAAGTATCTTGGACTCACCTCTGAAGATTGCTGGAGAGCTGGCTAGCTCTATGAGCGGAGTCTTCTTTTCCCCCAAATACACACCCTGGTAAGAGAACTATGGCTCTGTGAATCTCAGAGATGACCTCCCCCAGGACTGCTCAGACAGAGGGAAGCAGCTAACCCACATGAAACAGCTTTAGACCAAATCCCCAATGATTTACAGTGGAAGAAGTATCTACCTACCTATGGTAGGGTTACAGTACCTAGCACAGTGCCTTATCGGTAGAAAACGTTTAATAATAAATGCATGGCTGTTTTGTTAGCCTGGTGTGCAACCCTTTTGTACCAAAAGAATAAAACAGCAAACCTGATACTTGTTGCCCACCTGTCATGGATTTTTATGTCTTTAACCAAGAAAAGGCAAAATAATAAATTAGATCTTCAAGTCTCTTTTGTTTTCTAAAAGCCAAGACAGACCATTACCCTCCTGTTTACATTTGCCCTTCAACACTGCCGTTTACAAATTCTTCCCTAGTGTTAGAATGTCTACTCTCATAGTTTTACAAGTGTTTACTGTTCACTGTCCACTTTCTACTGGTAACACAGGAGACCATTATTCTCATTAGTGGGATGCCATCAAATTAGACAGGATAAGCGGTGTTTGAGTTTCCCTGCAGGCAGATAACTACATTGAGATAAATTCTCGATATACTTCAATTCTTGGATCAAAGTATTTGTCTTGCCCAATCTAGGTGTCCCATTCACTTTTTGATGTTTTATCACCATCACTTCTTATCTGAGTTTTAAGGCTCATTTTACTTTGAGGCTTTTGGTCATCCTTTATCTTCTATTTTCTGAAATGCATATTCAAATTAGGTAAAAGGAAGCAGAAGGATAAATCTTTTAAAAATGGTTTCGGCTTTCAGATTTTATAATTCCTATGTTGCCTTTTAATGTAGAAGGGAATGTATCCTTGCAAAGAACATTTTAATGATCAATAAAGAAATAATGTCTGTCTAAAAAGGAAACTTTAAAGGGACAAAGAATCAGGTAGTTCATTATTTGGAAAAGTAATAATATAAATATCACATGGAAGATTTAGGCATTAACACCTGAATTTAGTTGAAAATTTCAGTTTCTAGGCAGGTATGACATCGTTTCTTTCAAGATAAAATAATGGTGGGTGAAGATTTTCTACATTTCCCAGTGGATTTTCTAACAGTCTATATAGGGAAATAAAACTATTATTTATCATTTCATGTTTTTAATTTTGTCTTCATTTCTGAAGAAAAAGACCTGAGTGCTGATTTTTTTTTGTAATTTCTTATACTTTCACAACATTCAGAAGTTTTTCTGCATTGTGTCTTCGCTGATGTCTAAAAAGATTTGAGCTTTGACTATAAGATTTCCCACACTGAACGCATTCGTAAGGTTTCTCCCCAGTATGGATTCTCTGATGATTAATGAGCCCAGAATTCTGGCTAAAGGCTTTTCCACATTCAAGACACTTGTAAGGTTTTTCTCCAGTATGGACTCTCTGATGCTGCACAAGGATAGAACTTCTGCTGAATGCTTTCCCGCATTCAACACATCCGTAGGGTTTCTCCCCACTGTGGATTCTTTGATGAAGAATGAGGGCTGAACCCTGACTGAAGTGTTTTCCACATTCATCACATATATGCTGTTTCTTTCGAGAGGGATTTCTCTTTCTTTCAAATCTGCCCTTGGGGAAACAGGCTTCTCCGTACTTAAAAATCTGAGGAACACCTATATTGAGAGTGCCAGGAACTTCATGAGATTCTGCGGCTGAAGGAATCTCCTGCTTTGGAGCTAGTGCTCCATTTTCAGTCCGACCATCATCGTCTGAAATAAAGAAAAAATGTTATTATCACTCGTTTTCTATTCTGGAAGGAGAGAGACCTAAAGAAAAATTTAGTAAAACTGAACTAAAAGTAAAGAGCCTGCATTTATCTACAAAGAGCCCTCTGAAAACTGGTGGTAGGGTGGCCTACTCCAAAAAAAAAAAAAAAAAGGGAAACGACCGATTAAGAAGCTAAGGGAGGTAATGGCATGCTAACATAATGAGGAATTAAAAGGTTATTCCCTGAATAAAAGTGGTAACATAAGCACGTGCGCTATACAATACTAGTCAGAAAACAATGGGCAGAATGATGGCAAATTCTAAGACTGTCAGACAAAGTGATGCAAACTAGGTCTGGTTGAAATGTCGTAAGAAATATAAAATTGGCCATCAGGAAGTCATTACAATATTCTTTTGTTCTGAGGAAGGGAGAAATTACATCAGATTATTATGGTGTAAATAACAAGCAATGACTATTTCTGAAATGAGCAAGACCAGGCAGATTACAGCCAACACTACACTAAAAGCAGAACCAGAAGATGTCCTACTAAGAAACTGAAGATAAACTGAGGGTATTCTCTGTTAACTCAGGACATAACACATATATTCAACAGGTTCTTGCAAAGTGACAGTTTTCCTGTAAATGAAGGCTGCCCTACTTGGTATTTGCCATGGTACTTAGACGAGTTATTATTTGTAAGCCTCAGTTAAATGAGTCCAGTGAAACAAAAAACTGAATTAACTACCAACATGGTACCCTTAAACTCCTACAAGAAGCAGTATGAGCAAGTCTCATTTCAGACTTTCCTCAAACTTCAAGCCTTGAAGAGTGCAGTTAAGAGGGTGAGCAGCAACAATCAGGAAAGTGGTAAACAGTGAGCAAGTCTATAACGATTACGAAAGGGATAAAGTCAAGGGAGAGGACTAACAAGAGACTGAAGGGCGCAGTGGATCAGGGAGGCATGGAGACATGAACAACAGATAAACAAGTGTTAAAGTTATGTGGGGACAAATGGCACAGAAAGAAAGAAGCTCCCCAGTGTGGCAGAGACCAGGCCCCTGAAATGAGGCCATTTACAAATACGGGAAAACTATTCTAAAATTCAGGCAGGGGAGAAATTTTCTACCCAAGAAAATATCACCTCCAATGACCAAGGATAGTGGTTCTCCAACTTCATTCCAGAGAAGACTGTTTCACGAAACATGTAAAACTACAGGCTCTCAGCAGACGTCAGCCTCACCCCGCCAGTTCTGGTTCCCTAGCACTGTCCTCTCAGATGGGAAGAAAATGTGATGAGACCCCATCTGTGGCACATACCAACATTATTTATAACTACCTCATTGAAAGATTCCCAAAGCAGTCTCAAATAAATATGAACACAAACCCAGCAGGCTTAGGAATATACTGGGTTGTATCAAAGTACACTAAGTCTATGGTGTCGACTGCCAATATACTGGGAAAGACTAGCTTAAATGACTTATTATAATCATGAGTTTTTTATTTTTCTGTACTTAAAGCATATTTTAGCTACAGAGCCTATTTTTGCATAAATACCTGGAAAATGTTAAGAGTTTTATCCAAGGATCATTTCTACAAAAGATGCTTCTTAGGAAAAAAAAGGCTCTAAGTAGGATGTTGAAGAAAAAACAAAAATAATCAAAAATTTAGAAAGACTTCAGTGGTCAGCAACAAAAAGAATGGATTTGAAGAGGTTTCAGGTAAGCCTATTACGCCAAGAGGATTAGGCAGGAGATTGAAAGGATATGAAACAGATGACAGAGAATATTGCATGCAAAATAAGGGACTTAGAGGCGCCTGGGTGGTTCAGTTGGTTAAGTGGTTAAGTGTCTGCCTTCGGCTGAGATGGTGATCCCAGGGTCCTGGGATGAAGCCCTGCGTCTGGCTCCCGGCTCAGTGGGGAGCCTGCTTCTCCCTCTCCTCTCCGCTCGTGATCTCTGTCACACACTCTCTCTCTCTAAAAAATAAGTAAAATCTTAATAAGTAAGTAAATAAATAAATAAGGGACCTAATCTACAAGTGGGTGCTGGCTCAACATAAGGCAAATGTCAGCCTGAAATGGGCAGGTCTTCAAGAGGTAAAGGGAAGAAAAGGCTGATGATGTTAATGCCTAAGAATAAAAAAACTGCGGTCTGCAAACCATTGTAAGAATCAAGATCCTATAGTGTGTCTATGTCTACAAAACCAGGTTAAGGTGATTATTCCCTATCCCCTAGTGGGAACAAGCAAGGATTTCTGGACAAAAAGCCCACACTCCCCTTATCCCTCTAGCCCACTTGGAGTTTTGGTCCTCACCACAGTGCCTTAGGGAATGGAGCTCCCAGGATGCCCACTTGAGCTGGTTCTCCACAGCGTCAAGCTCAGAATTTGGTAATCCCTGAGCTTCTTCTTGAGAAACTATTTCCTCTACCAGAACCTCCCGTTTTCGTCGACGGAGAGAAACCTGGAAAAAATGAAGTTTGGCTCAGGTGAGAGGAAATCTTACAAGATTCAGAACTAAAAAAATTCAAGAGAAACCATAACGACACACATACTGCAGGGGCCTGTACGACAAAGCATGGTTAGAGGGGAACAGTGGGGGGGTCAGGGTGGGGATAAACATTATTTTTAATTTGAGCAGAATTAACTAAGGAGCTTTGCCTACTGCTATGCCAGTGCTTCTGACCCAGGAGAGTGACATGAGCAGACTCACCGGCTGTCCTGGGTCATCGAGCTCACTCTCTAAATCCTCCAGCACTGTCACAGCCTCCTCTCCATTCTCTGGATGATGCTCTCGAACCCAGGTCTGCAGTTCCTTGGGTAGGATGGCAACAAACTGCTCCAGCACTACCAGCTCCAAAATTTGTTCTTTCGTGTGTGTCTCTGGCCTGAGCCATAGACGGCAAAGTTCTCGAAGCTGGCTCACAGCTTCACGGGGCCCAGGGGAATCCTGGTATCCAAACTGCCTGAATCGCTGTCGGAAAACCTCTGGATCAGGAAGATGGTTCCAGGGGATGCTTGATCCCTCTTCACCATCAGGATCCTCCTCCAACTTCACTCTCAGAATTTTTTCCTCTTCATCTGGAGTTGGGATTATAAGTATTGAATCTTCTTCCACGGACTGTGCAGACATCCTGATTTATAATACTTAAAGAAAAGTCAATCAAGGCAGGATACAGGCCTCAGGGAAATACCCTGTTTTCTTCACAGGCACTCCTGAGGGACAAGAAATTAAAACAAACAAACATAAATAACCAAATATCCGAAGAATCTGAACATATACGGACAAGGAAGTAAAAGATACTTTTTTTTTTTTTTACCAGATTAAAAATCCCAATCAATAACCTACAGAAGCTGGCAAACTACAGCTCACAGCCAAATCTGACTTGCTACTGATTTTTGTACAATGTGTACTGAGTTTTCATTATTACATGGTTGCAAAAAACCCTAAGAATACTTCATGACATGTGAAAGTGATAAGAAATTAAAATGTCTGAGTCCATAAATAATTTTATTTGTCCACGGTTCATGCTACAATGGCAGAGTTGAGTAGTTTCAACAGACACAATAGTCTTAAAAACCTAGTATTTATCATCCGACCCTTTAGAAAAAAATTGGCCAATATGTGACCTGCTAAGTCAACAAACCTTATTTCAATAATCAAAAGAGTCCAAGTAGGAACCTGTCCAACTCAGTGTTTTTTAAATGCGTTTGACCCTGGAACACATTACTTGCAACTCAAGACTTGTGGTCCCTGACCCATGCAGGTCAATTCAAAGCAGGGACTGCTTTTCTGTTACTGTTTAAAAATTATTTAACAAAATGCTTTTAGGAGTTATATTTTTAAGGAGTTAAGAAAGATCTTTTAAATGTTCAAGAACTCCCTGGGCTTAAAATATGTGTGAAAAAATATCCACTTGCTCAGTAACAGATTAATACTGAAAAGAAATCTAACCACTAGGTGCCATGAAATGCAAATACTATTCAGTCATCCAGGACACCGTTACTACATTTAGATCCATAATGACCCAGACCTATCACCGCAAATTCAATGAAGAGAAGGGACTAGTGTAACACCATAACTTCTTGCATCGGCCGGCCCAGATTCACCATCTCACACTGGATGACTCACAGTTTTCCCAGCTTCTACCTTCAGGGAAACCTTGTGCTGCGATTTTTGATCCTTTCCTTGTATTTGCACAGTCATGCCCATGCCATCATACTAGGAATGAGCCATGCTCCGTGTATACATACTCCGTGTATCTATTTAGGGCCCAGAATCTGAAAACCAAAGATTTCACAAAACCTCCTGTAACTCTAACAAGGTTAGTTATCAGAATAAACCTTAACAGAGAAGTAATGCAGACAGGTTTAATTACTCTGGAGTGTGGCGGCCTTTTAAATAGAGTTTAGCCAACAGATTCGTTGGTTCCTATTCCAGGACCCTACCTTATCAAAGACTCAATCATTCTACAGGAAAGAAATCTCTCTCCCTTTTATGTTCTCTTACGGCAGCCTGCTCCTGGCCCGTCAAGGAGGCGCAAGGAGGGAAGGCCCGCGGTCGCTACAGTGTTTGGGAGGGGAGCCGCGTCCCAGGTGATCTCGCCTCACTTCCGCGGAGTTCCACTGCAAATCACGCCCCCGCCCCGGCGTCCACCAGCCCTTCTTCCCCTTATTCCCGCCGGCGGGTTTCAGACGACCAAAGGCCACACTGCCCCAACAGCGTCGGGGCGACGGCACTTCCGTCCGCGTCCGGCGGAACTACAAGCCCCGGCAGCCCCCGCGCAAGGCCCGCCCTCTCCCACCTCCGCCCAAAACGAGTCCCAGAACCCTCCGCGAGACGCCAGGCCTCGAAATAGAACAAAACCGGCCGATGGGGGAGGGGGAGAACCGAGGGTCGCGGAGGGCACAGGAGATGGGGGATTCTCCGATGGTGCTGAAAGTCCAATCTGGCTTTCCTTCTATACCTATCCACTCCCCAACTACTGGACCCGGCGACCGCGGCCTGTCCTGCGCGCTTCCAGGGAAGCCGAGGAAGGTCCCCGCCAAGCTTCTTCGCTGACTCCTGCCAAGAGGTCCGCAGCCTCTTAGCCCAGCATCCCCCTCACCCCCTTCCCCCCATTCTCGCGCAAACCTCCAACTCAGGATCCGCAGCAGCTTCGCTGTCCAAAGCAGACGCAGAAACGCCGCTCACAAGCCGTTTCCCAGAAGCCCCCGGCGCGGACTGCTTCCGGTCTGCGGGTCCCAGGAGGCGGGGAGAGACGAAGCCTCGCGTTGCCATGGAGATGCGCTCCGGGCGGGGGAGGGGCGGCCCGACGACAATGACCGCTTTGAGGCTGCGCTTGGCGTCGCGCCTCTCTCCTCGGATAGCCAGGAGTTCTGTGTTTCGCTTAAGAGAAAGAGAAAAGAAAGAGAGAATTCTGCCATTAAGATCGTCTTTACGGTTTCATAAGCCGACTCACAGGCGGTATTATCTCATACGAAGCTCACAGTAACCCTCTGAAAGAAGTAATAAAAGCGAGTATTTATGAGTGCTTACTACATTGTACCAGCTACCTATATTGTTTTCACAGCAGGTCTGTGATGGCAAGAACTTTTGTTGTCCCCATTTCACAGCCGAGATAGGTAACTGAGGCACAAGTAAATAACTTGCCTAGAGCTCATAACCAGAAAGGGGGGGGGGGCAAAATTTGAAATGGAGCATGACTCCAACCTTTGGCTCCCACACATGTTACACAGCTTTATTTTGACCAAATTATCTGTCAGGCAAGCAAGATGAGACTCTTAAGAGCTTTGGCAGTGATCTCAGTGAATTCGCAGAGTGCATGGTCGTCTTCTGACTTCAGACTTGACGTTTTATACCACAAAACAGCTGCTGACGTTTTCATTTGAAAAGTAAGCGAGCCCACTTCATTCCCCTATTTAAAGGCCTTCAAAGGATCCCTACTGCCTTCAGTGTGATATAAAAACTCCTTACACTGGCCTGCAAGGGCCCCTGTGGTCTGTTCCCTGCCTCCCGACTCTGACTTCAGCTCTTAGGCTCGTTGGGACCCTGGATTCTTAGCCTCACTGGAAGTCTCCCCACCCTTCCTACCAGAGTAGAGTGATCTCATTTATTCATTTCCCCAATCTTTACTTTTTTTCTCTTTTTTTTGTATGTAAGTCCCGTAAGGTCAAGGACCTTGTTTGTTTTGTACACCACAGTATCCCCACCTAGTTCTAGGATGCTAACTGCCTGGTACATAGAGAACTCAATAAATATTTGTTAAATAAATGAATTGTGGCTTGCCACACTGCCCCTTTTGCTAGGTCACATGTCAGGCATCAGGAACCATACAAAAGAGCCCTGTTTAAGGTCTCTGTTAGAAGTGCAGTTCCAGCCTTCCAGAAACATTTCAGGATCGTCAGGCTTCAGCTTTTTGCTTCATTCAGGGCTTCATAAAGTGCCCTCAGCCTCTGTGGGATTCATGAATGAGAGATAGTAAGCAAGCTGATGATGGTATGGCACTAATTTACTACCTGACAGAACTTTGTCTCCCCAGAACTCCGGCTAACTGGTGCCTCTTCTCTATTTCCTCATTTAGGAGGCTACAAAATCCTGCCACTTCACTCTCCTACTTGGCTACTGCCACCAAACTGCTTGGCTGCTCTTCCCAGTTTTTCACTCTTTAGTGACCCTAAAGGCTAGCTCGAGGCATTTTTGTTTTATTTCGTTTTGCTTTAAGAGTTTTTACATCTAATTAAAGTTAGAAAAGAAAAAAGATAAACAGTGCCAAACAGAAATACTTGGGGTCATTGAAAGTGTTGCAAAATGTTATAAAACTCTTTGCCTGGGATTCATTTTGTTATTCCTAATTCTGAGAGAGTAAATGGAAACCATAATGAGGTTTCCTTCTTTAATTTATTCTTTTGAGGGCAGGGACCCACAACACCCACTTTGAAACACCATCCTTCTGAGCCCCATTATGTGGGCTCTTTCTTGAATGGTAGCCCATGTGGGCTCTTTCTTGAATGGTAGCCCCTGTTGCCATCTTAAAGATACAGTCAAGATAGAAAATCATGTTCCTCTGCGCAACCTGAGTAAGGAATAGCTCCATACCAGCTGCACATACCTACATAGGTCATGTAGGTGAGGCTTGAACTGCAGCTGATTTGAGTCTTGGCAGAACAACCTTGTGATCCTCCCAGAAGATGAGAGCACGAGAGGCTTCCGAGGAGCTGCAATAAGGCCGTTCGCCGCTCACAACCCTGTCTTCCAAGGATGCTGTCCTGAGACAGTTCTTCATTGCTTGCTGATTTGTGATGGGGGTGTTGGCCTCACCTGCCTGGCCTACAGCTGCTGACTATTAAAAGGCTCAGATACATCGTGGCATTAGCCCCTTAGCGACAAAGCATTCCACATCTCAAGCTGAAGTCATCTGACTCCTTCTGTTTTGGTGTTATCCTTTTGATGGGAGACGATCCTTCATGGGCAACTGGCACCTTTTGGCAATTCTTGGCTTCACGGTCTACGTAAGTACTGATCTGTCTTAATTTTAAAAAGCTTCGTTGTTTCTTTACCAGCTAAATCTTTCAACCTTGCTTTGAAAGCATCTCACTCATTAACTAATGGTAAAAAACAAAAGCCAGGTAAATACTACCTGGATTCCAGAGACCTAGACGTGACTACAGTGAAGTCATGATTCCTTCTTTTAATATTACTGTCTTGTTTAGGAGATGAACAAAAAGACCCAAGTATTTATAAGGCAGTAGAGAAGTGCTCCAGTAAAAGAAGAACACAATACACTCAGGGGAGGGACACCTACATGAGGGAGTGTGCTGAAGGGGAAGAGAGGCACCCAAAGATAGAGGAAGCAAAGTAGAAAAAAATTTCACAGTGGAAGGAAAGGACAGCCCTCAGACCTGTGAAATTTTAACCAGATTTCATTCAAGAATAATCACAATCTTTTCTAGGCTTTTCTACAACAATTACTTTGAAGGTCTCAGTCCTTCTGCCCTGTTGAGAAGTATTTCCCTCTGGGTATTTAAAGTACATTGGTTAAATATTCCGTTTTAGCCAATAAGTGCACTGTACCAGGAGGCTTGATTGCAAGTAGCTAAATGTGGTAGGCATTGTTAACTCCCTACATAAAACACTCTCCGGGCACCTGGGTGGCTCAGTCAGCTAAGCGTCAACCCTTGATTTCAGCTCAGGTCATGATATCAGGTCCTGGGATGGAGCCCTTCTCTGGCTGCTGGCTCAGCAGGAAGTCTGCTTGTTTCCCTCCCCCTCTATGCCTCCCCCTGCTTGCAGGTGTGCATGTTCATTCATTTTCTCTCAAATAAATAAATCAGTCTTAAAAAAAAAAAAAGTACTCCCCATTACTTCTAATATAGTCCCGATTTTTTGATGCGGGGGGTGGGTGGGTGGGCAACACTGTGCCTAGCCGTAGAGAGTAAGCTGTGACTGAACTAAGCCCTCCATGACCATTCTGTTTCTCTTTGCCGTAATATACTCACTTTGCCTCTCTGGCAGCTAGGAATGGGCATGTGATTCAGTTCTGGTCAATGAGATGTAAGAGGAAGTAGTTTGTGTCCCTCAAGAAATTTCTCTATTTCATGTAAGTTGTCAAATTTATTGGCATAAAGTTGTTCATACTAGTTCCTTAATATCCTTTTAATGTCTATTGTATTTTAGTTTGGTTCAGGCTCTCAACGGACTGGGTGATACCCACTCATATTGGTGAGGATGAACTTCTTTCTTCTGTCTACTGATTTAAATGCTAATCTCTTCTGGAGATATCTTTACAGACATACCCAGAAATAATGGTTTATCAGTTATCTGTGCATCCCTTAACCCAGTCAAGTTGACACACAAATTAACCATCACAACTCTATTAGAGGCTTTTTATAGATCCAGTGGAATTTTCTATGTGGATAATCATGCTATCTACAAAAAGGGAAAGTTTATTTCTTTCCAATTTTAGTATATGTGCTGCCAAAGTGAGCACAGGGAAAGTTTATTTCTTAATTTCCGAACTATATTACTTTACTTTTTCTTGCTTTATTGCACTGGCTAGGACTTCCAATACAATGTTGAGTAGGAATGGAAAGATTGGACATAATTTCTTTGTTGCCAGTCCTCGGGGGAAAGGGATTCAGTCTTTCATAACTGAGTATGATATCGACTCTAGGATTTTTGTTTTGTTTTGTTTTTTAAAGATTTTATTTATTTATTTGACAGAGAGATCACAAGTGGGCAGAGAGGCAGGCTCAGAGAGAGGGGGAAGTAGGCTCCCCACTGAGCAGAGAGCCCGATGCGGGACTCAATCCCCAGGACCCTGAGATCATGACCTGAGCTGAAGGCAGAGGCTTAACCCTGAGCCACCCAGGTGCCCCTGTTTTGTATAAGACTTTATTTTTTTAGAGCAATTTTAGGTTTATAACATTGAGAGGGAGGTAGTGAGATTTCCCATATGCCTTCAGTCCCCACACATGCATAGCCTTCCCCATTATCAGTATCACTTACCAGAATGGTAAATAATTTTACTAAGGATGAACCTATATGGACACATCATAATCACCCAAAATCCATGGTCTACCTTAGAGTTCACATTTAATATTATATATTCTATTATGTCCATTATTATGTTATAACACATCCATTATTACGATATCAATCAGAGGTTTGTTTGTTTTTAAAGATTTCATGTATTTTAGAGAGGAAGAACACAGAGGGAGAATGAGAGGGAGAAGCAAACTCCCTGATGAGCAGAGAGCCGATTGTGGGACTCAATACCAGAACCCCGAGATCATGACCTGAACAGAAGGCAGACGCTTAACTCACTGAGCCACCCAGGCACCCTCATACAGAATATTTTAACTGCTCTATAAAAACCTCTGTGCTTTGCCTGTCTCATCTCCCTCACCCCCAGGCAACTACTTATCTTTCTGTCTTCATAGTTTCCAAGAAGTCCACTATATAGCGGAATCATACGGTATGAAGTATTTACAGATTGACTTCTTTCACTTAGTACCATGCTCATACAGATTCCCCGTATCTCTTCATGGCTTAATAGCTCCTTTCTCTTTAGCACTGAATAATATGCCGTTGTCTGTATGTACCACAGTTTATGCATCCTTTCACCTACTGAAGGACATCTCGGTTGCTTGCAAGTTTTGGCAATTATGAATAATTATGAATAAAGCTGCTATAAACATCTGTGTACAAGTTTTTGTGTGA